TGTCAGACAGACTCTTTGTTTTTAGAGTCGTATAGCATACGCATCATTTCTATAAATTATCATGCATTCCATTTAATCTTTACGAACAAAGGTCTGAATTTACATATGGATTTGGCACTCTCAAATATCCGTAAATATTATTCTTTTGTTCCAGTAAATATCATAAAAAGAATTTATCGGTCTCGAATAGAAAGATTGAGGGTGCTAATGATTAATGATATTCCAGGTGATATTCGGTGGTTGATTGAAGCAAAATCTTCGTCAAAGACAGTGTAGTGTGGATGACTACACTGAGGAATTTTATAAACTCCTGGCCTGGGTAGATATTCGTGATATTTCCAAATAGTTGATTTCTCATTATATTGGGGGTTTACGTGTTTCTATTCAGGATGTTTTGAATTTGTTTACTCCGGCTTCTGTTTTTTAGGCTCATCAGCGAGCTTACTGGTTGAGAAACAACAGACTCGTCTGTCAGTTTCATCTTATATTCTATTCGACAGTCGTCGACCAGTACGACTACACCCAAACCTACCGTACTCGCTCGGACGTCTGTGGGGACTATGTCATCTTACCCTGTAGTTGGGGGTAAGGGTAGTAGTTCAGCTCCTGGTGGTGGCACTCGCCAGCCCACTACCCTACGGTGTTTCGCTTGTGGTAAACCAGGTCATCGACAGGCCCTTTGTCCGAAAGTGAGGTGTACACGAGCAATTTTGGTGGACGAACCAGATATTGATTATGGAGGAACACGTGACGGGGACGTGGGACATGCATTGGTCATTCGTCGTTTCTCTTTTATATCCACATGTTAAGGATTCGACTGCTAGACAGCGACATCATATTTTTTAGTCCACTTGCACTTTTTGGGATCAAGTATGTCGTTTTATGATTGATTCTGGTGCTTGTGAGAATGTGATATCCTCGAAGGTTGTTGAGAAGTTACATTTGCAGCCTGAGCCTCATCCACAGCCTTATACATTAGCTTAGATTTAAAAGGAGAGTTCCATTACGGTGGATCGTCGTGTTTTGCTACCTTTCTCGGTTGAGACTACGTATAAAGATGAGATATGGTTTGATGTTGTCTCGATGGATGCTTTCACTTGCTTGGGACGACCGTGGCAGTTTGATCGGGTTGTTGTACATGATGGTCGTAGTAACACATATGGGTTTCTTTTTTCATGGCGTTCACATAGTCTTACATCCATCACCGCCTCGTTCGATTTTGCTACCTTCTGGTTCGGTTCAGCCACCCCATCTTCTTCGGTGTTGTTTCTTTCTCGGTCCGCCTTTATCCGTGAGCTACATGCTGCACCGCTGGTTTTTTTTGTCTTCGGCGCCGATTCTATTCAGGATGGGTCTTCATCTGCTTTGATTCAGCCGTTGCTCCAGGAGTTTGCTGATTTGTTTTTTGCCGAGCTCCCGAGTGGTTTACCACCATTACAGGATATTCATCACCATATCGATTTAGTTCTGGGCGCTTCTTTGCCCAATCGCCCTCATTATCAGATGAGCCCAGCAGAGCACTAGGAGCTTTGTAGTCCAGCGGAGGATTTATTACGGAAAGGGTCTATTCACTGGAATCTTAGTCCTTGTGCTGTGTCAGCTCTCCTTAATCCGAAAAAGGACAAGTCGTGGAGGATGTGTGTTGACAGTCAGGCTATCAATAAAATTACAGTGCGTTACCATTTTCCTATTCCCCGATTGGATGATTTGTTAGATCAATTGCGTGGAGCGACTGTGTTTTCCAAACTCAATCTTCTGAGTGGATACCATCATATTCGTATTCGGCCAGGTGATGAGTGGAAGACGACATTTAAGATTCGATATGGTTTGTACGACTGGATGGTCATGCCCTCCGATTTTTTTTAATGCTCCAAGTACGTTTATGCCGACTATGAACCAGACACTTTGTGATCTCATTGGGAAGTGTGTTATCGTTTATTGCGACAAAATACTCATTTATAGTTGTTTTTTTGAGGAGCATTTACACTATGTCTGTAAGGTACTTCATCTCTTACGTGCAGAGTCCTTTTATATCTCTCCGGGTAAGTGTTCTTTTCTTGTGGATTATGTGTTGTTTTTGGGATTTGCTATTTCTTCGGATGGTGTTCGTGTTGATGAGAGTAAGGTTGCTGCTATTCGGGATTGGCCTACTTCTACGACTTTTACTGAGGCCCGTAGTTTTCATGGCTTGGCTTCATTTTAGCTGCGTTTTATTGCACATTTCAGTTCTATTACCACTTCGATTACTGATTGTCTTACAGGCAAATCATTTGTCTGGACCCTTCAGTCGGTTGAAGCTTTTGATCTCGTTAAACTGAAGCTCACTTCGACTCCAGTTTTGGTACTTCCCGACATTTCTCGGCCCTTTGAGCTTTCGTGTGATGCATCCAAGGTGGGGATTGGGGTTGTTCTTAGGCAAGAGGGTAGACCCATAGCCTTTTTTAGTGAGAGGTTTTCGGGCCCCCGAGTACGTTACAATACTTATGATGTGGAATTTTATGCGGTAGAGTGTGTTGTACGTCATTGGCGGCACTACTTATTTCATCGAGGGTTTGTGCTTTTTACTAATCATGAGGTTCTTCACCATCTGGCTTCTCAGGACAACATTTTTGCCCGACATTCTTCTTGGATATCCTTTCTGCAGCAGTTCACTTTCGTTCTCAAACATCGGTTCGGTTTATCCCATCGGGTTGCTGATGCTTTGAGCAGATGTTCTCTTCTTCTTTCTGATATGTGCATTGAGGTCATTGGCTTTGATTTGATTGAGGACCTTCATAGAGCTGGCCATGTGGGTCGTGATTGTTTTGTTAAGCTTGTCTAACGACGTTTCTTTTGGCATACTGTGCGACGGGATGTATCTCGTTTTGTTCAACGTTGTTGTGTGTGCCAGGTATCGAATTGTGTTGCTATAAATGAGGGACTGTATCACCCGCTATCGATTCCTTCACAGCCTTGGTGTTCCATTAGTATGGACTTTGCTTTGGGATTACCACGTACTCATCGAGGTAATGATTCTATTTTTGTGTTGTGGATTGGTTTTCTAAAATGACCCATTTTATTTCTTGTAAGCGTACGACTGATGTTGTGCATGTTTCCCAATGATTTTTCCGGGAGATTTATCGTTTGTATGGTTTACCTACTTCTTTGTCTGATCTAGATCCCATTTTCTTAGTTTCTTCTGGCGTAGTTTGTGGAGGCAGGTGCACACAAGGCTTGATTTTAGTAGTGCTTACCATCCTCAAACTAATGGTTAGACTGAGGATGTTAATCGTTCCTTATAAAATTTGCTTTCGTGGTTTGGTTGGTGATAATTTGCGTTCTTGGGATATGCGGCTTAGTTAGGGTGAGTTTGCACATAATTTTGTTGTCAGTCGTGCCACTCGGTATTGCCATTTCAGGGTGGTATATGGTATTGTTCCTCGTGGTCCAGCTGATTTGATTTCTTTAGCTTCTTTTGATCTTGAGGATCGACGGGTGGAGGACTTGATTTCTGATTTGAGGCATATGCATTATGAGGTTCGTGCTAACTTGGAGACTACTACTGTCGCTTATAAAAGGATGGTGGATGCTCGTCGTCATGTGGAGTTTGATGTGGGTGATTTTGTTTGGGCTGTATTGACTAAGGACCGTTTCCTAGCTCATGAGTACAATGACCCCGTTTGGAAGATAGCGGATTGAAGATAAATTAGTGGATTGGACTTAATTGAGAGGTTTGACCCGTCAAATCTGCTATTGAGCATGTTTGGTAAATAACTTATTTGATAAGCTTTTTGGGTCTGAAACTCTAATTTAAAAAAAGCTCATTAGAGCAGCTTTTTGAGAATAGAGGATTCACACAAATCATTTTCTTGGAACTTTTTCATTTGTATTATTTATTTTACAATCTACATTGATTTATGGTGCTAATAAATAATAATATGTCATCCATATGATTAATTTATCTAATAAAATGTAAAATTCATAACTTTTTCATCAAGTGTTAGTAAATTTAAAATATATATATATATATATATATATATATATATATATAAATTACCAACTAAAGAATATTAAATGTCCTAATATATTATTATTAAAAGAATACACCCTAAATAATAAAATATTCTTACTGATAATTTTGCAATTTCGAACAGTTATAAGCTTTCAGCTATTTACCAAACACTTATTTAAAAACCGTTGATGCAATCCGCTAGTCAAATCAGCTAATATAATCCGCTATTCGCTGATACAATTCGATATCTGTTATCCGCTATCCGTTGATCGCCAAACATGGCCAATAAGCTGTCTGCCCGGAAGATTGGTCATGTGGAGATTTTGGAGAAGATTATTCCGAAAGCCTATCTTCTTCGTTTACCCTCTCATGTTCGTAATTCAGATGTTTTTAATATAAGCATTTGGTGTCTTTTTATGGTGAACAATCTGTCGATGAGAGTCGTGCGGATTCAAAGGCGAATCCTCTCCAACCGGAGGAGAATGATGTCGATGAGAGTGCATTGGCATTTCTCGACAAACATGATCGGCCCCGATCCTTAGTGTGATTATTATTATATGTATTTTAGTATCTATGTTTGTATTTAATTATGATGTGTAGTGGGCTTACTGTGTTTGGACCTTTATTTATACTATGTATTGGGCTTATTGTATTAGGACTTTATGATTTGAATGTAACAACTATTTATTTAAAATAGAAGTGTAGGAAGGGAACAAACAGTTATTTTGTATTTTGAACCAAAAAAAAAAAAAAAAGAAAATAAGTTTCTCTGTTGTGTTCTTCTTCTTCTTCCCATCCGCTATCTGCTGCATCAAATGCTCAGTGACCATTGCAGAAGGAAAACACGACTAGAAATAAAGAATATGCAGATTACCAAATAATATAAACAGATACTAATGGAATAGAGAAAAACTGTACGCCCATTTCCATGTGATGTGTCGAAAGAATTGATAGATTACAAGATTTTTGGATGAATTATAAGGATAGGATTACTATTATAACGCTACAGCTAAGTAGGAGGAAAAACCAGGATGATCTCATCGAACAAAATTTCCTGGGATTTTGGGATCTATTCACAACATTTGGTGCCATTTCTGCAAATGACCTTATAATAGCTAAGAATCCAAAAACTACACATATGAGAAAAATTACAATTCCTTTGTTCTCCAGATGCAATTGATTCCTCCGAACCTTTTCAACCTCCAATCTGCAGTAAGATGGGCACACTCAGAATCTGTTGTATATATAAATGGCACGCTTTGCATGTAACAAAAATCAGAACTGATGGGTCGAAAAAAATGTGTGTTTTATATATTTAAAAGCGTATTTAAAGGGGTAAAAATGAGATCCAAAGCCTCACATTTACCAATGGTTCCTAACTAATAATCACTTTTAGTGTCCAAGAACTACAATGAATGGATAAATTAGTCCTCAATCCTACCAATATTTTACTTCATTAGCCTCAGGTTTTTGATGCCTTTCTTAGCTTCTATTATTTTTCATCAACTAATTCCATGCCAAAGCAGCTACTAACATAAGAAACCATCAGGGTCATCACACATGAGTACATTTGCAAAATTGTTTACTTTTTGGTTAAATTTATAAGGACTGCTTTTGATGCATTTTTCATTCTTTCATCATGTTGTTTCCTCTTCAGTGAGCATAGAAAGACGGTTCCTATTGGTTACCCAAAATCAAATAAAAAGGAAAATAAACCCACATATTTTGCACATGACCCTGATTCAGCAACACTAAAACTGTAAATGTCAAGGGAAGAAAAAAAAGGTTGTTACGTAAAGAAAACAAAGCAACCTGAGAAGGGAATTCTCATTCAGTATGTTGTCCAACTGTGTAGAAACAAGATATTTCCAAGACATAAGATCACCGATCTCCTTACTCTGCAAGAGTTGCAAAGTGTTAAAAAAGTACAACTTTCGAATGCATTTGGGTTATAAGTGTTGAACAGATAAAAACTACACAAACCATGTCCTCTTTGCTTTCAGAGAGTTTCCGAACATCTGACACGATCTTCTCCAGAAGCGCATAATTATCCCCGACATCTTTATCAAATCCAAAGATCTGACCTTTTTCATCAGAATCTTAAGGACACTATCCTCGGGCATCCTATTAACCTGCTGGTGACGGATTTCCTCAATTGGGTCGGGCACCTCAATTTCCAGTCTTCCACGTTCACATCTGGTGATGATTCAATCATCAAGTCAGGTTCCTCTGCAATAACTTCATAACCATCACCTTCAGTTGTCAAGGGGGGGCTTAAACCTGGATTTTTTCCATCTAAAACCAAGTCATCTAGCATTTTCTCAATAGCATCAACACCGTACACTTCCAACACACTCAGCGTATAGTAAAACTCCGAGCCATGATGTCTGAGCAGGTTCAATTTGAGATACCTCACCCATTTCGGCTCTGGAAGAACAAACCTCTGAGCATGCTTCACGTTCGCAGCAGTAAAATTCCCGAGTTTAGCCCATGAGTCGGTAGGATAAACAGGGCTGCCTAATAACTCGAAATCTTTCAAATTAGATGAATGATGCTCGAAATTTGCAATTTCAACCGTGTCTACCAGAGTTTCTTCAGAAAGCTATATCACGACAAACTTTTGTTCGGTCGAGCAAGGGTTTAGAAGGTACTTGTCTTTGTCGCCGTTCAAGATATTGGAGGCACCCTTTACTTCCTTGTTGTAGGACACAAATTTTGCTCCTTTAGAAGCAGATGCATAATTGTATTCTGCCCCACCGGGCTCGACTCTGTGTATAATGCTTCCAGCCTGGCCTGTTAGATATTTACTTTTAAAGTTGATTGGTTTATTCTTGAACTCATCTAGTCCAGGAGGCACTCCACCGGATAACCTGTCAATCTTGGGATTCTCCTTTACCATATTAGCCAACATTTTTTTCTTAATGGAAGCTTCATCGACTGCGGATTCTGTGATTACTTTATCCAGATTGTCCACTTTGCCCGTACTAAGAGCTGCTCCATTTGTCCACCGTGCAGAAGAATCTTCTGTTGGTTACTTTGAGGATCTCGTTATGCACAAATCACGGATAAACATTCAAAACATAAACCTATGCGCAGCGGATCTAAAGGTTTGATGTAGAAAACTTACGGCTTAAAATTTATGTACGGAGATGTCACGCGCTCTCACGCGCGTCTGCAAGATCCAGCAGCTGCTCCCTTCCGGCGGCGTGTGCGGCGGCGGCTGGCGGCGATCTCGACGGTGATCTCTTCGTCTTGTCTTCCTGGTCGTCGTGGTATGGTCACTTGCTGGTTTTGGTCTCCGTTTTGGATGTATGATTGGAATCTCTATATACCTTAAGATCTTCTACTGTATTCTCAAACAACTTTCTAGATCTTGTATCAGTGGAACACAAGAAATAGAAGAACTCCTTGGAAAGAGATAGAGAGAGGGGCGGACGCAGTTATATGGTTGGTGGGATTGTCTCCACTCTTCCAAGAGCCTAATGCTGTATATATAGAGCTACAGTAGGGACCCTAAGGAGAATAGGATAAAGGCTTCTAATATATTAATACTGTGGAGCAACCCCACAATTAATATATTAATAATATTAAAGTCCACCACAATAATATTATTTCACTCCCTTCACCTATCCCAAATTACATTTGAGACTCCTAATTATAATTGTCCGATTTACCTCCCCATGTTTAAGATATAATGTCCATTAATTAATTCGATCACTGATAATCAAGAATTAATTAATATATTATATTACCGAAGCTAACGCTCGCTCATAGC